CTGGTCTTTTGTCTCTCCCACGTACAAGTACGACAACACTAACACTTGATTATCTATTAATCTTCTAACATTGTCTTTAACTTACATTTTTTTTAATCTACAATCATGCCCTAAATAAGCTAAACTAACAAATGTAATTTTTACAAGCTAAACTAGTAAATGTAATTACCCTTATGTCATGGGTAACTAAGTTTCGCGATCAATTTACAATCTTAATCTGTGAGTCATCTTTTTGAGTCAAATTTTGATACGATATTTTATAAAGTACTATGAATATCAATAGGCTCATATATTCACATTATTACATCCTTGATAGATAAGAAGTCAAATTTTGACACGAATTTTATAATGTACGATGAATATCAATAGACTCGCATATTCACATAAAATACATCTTTGTGAAGACAATTTTCGTGAAAGTTCATGGCGCGTTTGCTCAACATTCGATGTAGGTTACATATTATAACCATGATCTAATTTTTTTTTCATAAAATATTAATTTATTAAAAATATTTTTTCCAAAATCATGATCTAAAAGGTCCATAAACTATAGGATAAGTGAAAAAAGGCATTTATTGGGCCAAAAAAGTTATAAACCGAAAAAACATGTACAGATCCACAGCCCATTTACATTCCTTTCTTCTTCTTCTTCATCATCATCATATAAATTGAACGGAAAAACGACTGCTGAAAAAACCCTAGCAGCAGCTCGATTCCTCAGAGCTCTAGAGAGAGAGAGAGAGAGAGAGTAGAGAGAGAGGAAAAATGGTGTCTGGTTCGGGAATCTCAGCAAAGAGGATAGTGGTGGACGCCCGCCACCATATGCTGGGAAGATTATCTTCGATCTTAGCCAAAGAATTGCTTAATGGACAGAGAGTAGTGGTTGTTAGGTGTGAGGAGATTTGCTTATCCGGTGGACTTGTTCGTCAGAAAATGAAGTACCTTAGGTTCCTTCGTAAGAGAATGAACACAAAACCTTCTCATGGTCCAATCCATTTTCGTGCTCCTTCGAAAATCCTCTGGCGTACCATTCGTGGGTATGCTTCTGTTTTTGAATATAATTGTATAGATATATATTTGAATATTGTTTATTTAGAGCAGAATTAAGAGGTAGATCTAGTATTTTGAGTTAATTGCTTTGTTGTTTATTTAATGTATATGGTAGTCTATGTTGGAGCATCCGACATGCACCCGTCGCCATTTTAAATGAGTATGAGTAACATAATGATAATTTGGTTTACATAATCCTTCTAATTGAGATAATTATGCTGTGGATTGTAATGGGAGATTCATTTTAGGATAAGATTAGGTGAGAATATGTTAGTAGTTTGATTGAAAGGGAGCCTTGGTGCAACGTTAAGTTGTTTCGAGCTGATGCTTGTGTTAGTTTAAGCTTCGTACATTACACTCATTTGGGGTGTGTCTCTTTGCCTTTTTCCTGTTCCAGTATGCACAGTGCTTCGTGTATCAAACTGTCTTTTTTATGTTAATTAAGTATGTGTGAGCTAGTTTTAAAAGTGCAGATACTCCTTGAGTTCATTATAAGATGTGCAGCTAGGTTCTAAATTTTTATTTTGCAATCGAATTATCTTGGAAGAACTTTGGATAAATAGCCAAGGCACATTCATCTTTTTACTTTAGAGCTTTGCCAACTTAGTCAACATCAAGCCAAGAATGGTCTCTGTAGTAGAAAAAAACTGAACTTGATCTTGTTTTCAGTACTTACATTCAGAAAGTGAAGAACTTTAATTTGTAGTGACAAAGCTGAAGTAGTTGACACATTACTCAGTTAGTAAACTTACAAAGTGAAGTGGAATTTTGTATTCATTTTGATGTATATTTGAAGTTATAAGTATTACAGTGGTGCAAAAAACTTTTGGCTAGTCTTTTGGGCTGTAACATCTATTTTTGACTAGAACAGATACAGAACAGTTGATGTTGTTGGAGTAAAATTTAGGGGTATCTGTGTAATGCTTGGGATCCTGTTGATAGTTTGTGCAGTACTGTATTTATCTGTAGGTAATAAATGTCTGCCTCAATGTTGATTTTGGTTTGTGTGTTAGTGGGTTCACTAATTTGTCAAGAAAGTTGTTTCTACTAGTATATATGACCTTTCCTTCTAGCATATATCAGCATGACTGTCCAAGTGATGCAACATTGTTTAATTTTATGTTGATGGCTATGGCGTTTCTCCCAAGTTTTATTTAGTTTAGTTAGAGTGTATGATGTACTATAGAAGTGTGAATTAAGATAAACTCTAGTTTTGAAAAACCATTTGCATTGGAAGGTAACTGCTTTGTATTGGAATGTTATCGAGTTGAAAAGAGAGTCGATTGTAGATGGTTTTTGATTAATTTGGGATTGAGGCATAGTTGATGTGTTTTATAGACTACAACTCAGTTTCTCAGTCTAAATATTTTGTTTTCCCTTTCCTTTAATGAATTTTTCAGTTGGGATTAGTACCTTTAGAACTACTGTATCGTGAACAATATATTTGATGATTAGGCCAGTATTGCAAGCTCCTTCTACTTCTACAATTGTGAATGATAGTGTCTGTCTTCATTTTATACTAGGATGATTCCCCACAAAACTAAGCGTGGAGCTGCTGCACTTGCCCGTTTGAAGGTTTATGAGGGTGTTCCACCCCCATATGACAAGATCAAGAGGATGGTCATTCCCGATGCACTTAAGTGAGTTGCACTGCAGCAGTCATAGCTTATTACTGTTTAGTGTTTCTTGTAGTACTGAGGTTTTTACCTTATTTTGTAACTAGGGTATTGAGGCTCCGTGCTGGACATAAATACTGTCTCTTGGGCAAGCTTTCATCAGAGGTCGGATGGAACCATTATGATACTATCAGGGTTAGTTTCTTCTCTTCTACCCTACATCGATTCTCTCAAAGTAGCAACTAGTGTTATTCCTCTTTTTTGCTTTGCCCTTGTTCATCTAAGCTACAGGCCCTGGCTAATTATGTGTTGAGCTTTCATTCTTGTAATTTGCATCGATGGTGACACTTCTCCATTGTTTATGATTTACCGCAGGATCTTGAGAACAAGAGAAAGGAGAGAGCTCAAGTAACATATGAGAGGAGAAAGCAGTTAGCAAAACTTAGGGTCAAGGCCGAGAAAGCTGCTGAGGAGAAACTTGGTCCTCAACTCGCGGTTATTGCTCCAATCAAGTACTGAAGTTGAAATATAGTTTGTTTTGAAGTACAATTTTGATGAAGATTGATGTTTTGACATTAGTTTGTTCCTTGTTAGGGGATACAGTTTGCATTTTTAGCAATATTTTCATCATTTGATCAGACTCTTCCCTGTTTTTTCGTGTATTTTTTTGCTAGAACATATGGAAAGTTTTTCTTAAATGAATCTTAACAATGAAACAACATATATAATTGGTAAATACTTATGCACAATGGATATTTATGTCGAACCATAAACTGAAAAATCATATTTATATGGTAGCTTATTCATGATTTGAAGTTTTATTTGTTGAATTTGAATCTCTACTATAACTAGTTTCAAAGCATGATTGAAAAGAGACAGTCAACACTAATTTATTTTACATTCTTTTTAATAATTTAGCCCAATTTTACATCATTTTACCCTAATTACCTATTTGGATAAATAATTTTTTATTTGATCTTGCAATTATTGGGCCTCAAAGGAAGCTTTCACAAGTATCAATAGTGGTTATTAGTTAATCATCAATTAATGCACTAACCCACGCCTTCGTTTTTTGCTTAAAACCATTAATTGCATTTAATAATATTAATTAATTCAATAGTGAAATCAACCAACAATAAACTGCCATTATTTTTTTCGATGCAAGATTTGTCCATTTTGACTAGAAAGCACTATGTAATTATCAGGTGTAATTATATAATTTGATAATTATACCGTATATTAATTATCATGACCTGTTTGTTTGTTAGAATGTAATTGCAATGTAATTTTCTTTGTCGTGTTTGATTGGACAAATATAATTACAAATTTAACAAAAAAATTAGACTAATACATAGATATGTTTTATTGTGTGACAAATATATATATATATATATATATACTAAATTAATTGTGAGGTATTTTAATTAAAATTTGATATAATAATAAATAATAAACAAAAAATTTAAAACATTGGAAGATTGCATTTGCAAATTTTGGGAAGGAGACAAGGAGAGGGAGGTATGTGGGTGATAAAATGGAAAGTTTAATCGATATGGATTGTGTTAGAATGATTGAGATATTGTCATTTTTAATTACAAATCTAAGATTTAAGTCTTTGGGAATCAGAAAAATCTAGTCTAAAGTAATGCCCCCGAGACCTGTGATGCGTGAATTCAAATTTTGGTCAAGCATGTTTTAATGTGCGAACTTAAAGTCTAACCAAGGTATTCTCAAGTCAAACAAACAAGTCAAACTGTATAATCATATTCAATTACACTCAAATTCAATTATCATGTGACTTCCAAACACACTTTTAATAATTTAAAAAACACTCTTAAAATATTTCTTCAAAAAATTACAAAATCTTTTTGAAAAATACTTGAACAAACACTTAATTATTTTTTTTGAAATACATATTTCAGGAAAAATTATATCACATCTATACAGATTACAAAATTATACCTTTTATTTTTATTTACGACTAATTACCACAAATAAAACATAATATTATGAAAGAGAGAGAAGAGTAATAAATTATTTTAACTTTATACCAAAATAATTAGTTGGGATAGTTAATTAAATTTGTAATTATTATTACTACCCCACTACTATCTACTAATTACTTATTAACTAGCAACTCTTGACTTTTCATTTGTCTGAAAAAAACATAAAAACCATTTCTCATGAATTTTAATGTGACTTTTCTTTTACCCCATTTTTCAATTTGACTTTTCATTTCATAACTTTTTTTTTTCTTCAAACTATATATATATATATATCCTAAGGTTCCTTCTTGATTTTCTTACAAAAAAATATATTTTCAAGTTTCAAGAAATGGCACTACATTTTTTTAAAAGTGTAGTGTTTTTGTTTTTGTTCTATGGTTTAGCAAGTGGAAGAGTTTTACTATGGCCATCAATTGGAATAAGTATTTTTGGATTTATTCCAACAATTTATGTTGATCAATCTGGTTTTGCTCAATTTCAGAAAATTCAAGCTGCTATTGATTCAATTCCTTCTAATAATTCTCATTGGGTTTGTATCTTCATCAGACCTGGCTTGTACAAGTAACTTCTCTATGCTCTACACTCTTCTTTTCCTATTTTATTTACGTGTGAATTCAGAATTCAGAGTCGATATCTATTCTTTTTGGTATATGTGCTATAGTTCTCTTCCTATTTTATTTATGTGTGAATTCAGAATTTAGAGTCACTATATGTTTTATTTAGTATATGTGCTATAGTTCTCTTGCACACATATAAATTGAGCTAGACATAATAAATTCTGTTGATCATTTTTTATTTTGATCGAGGGATTTGTATGATGTGCTTGGTGGAAAATGATTTATTCATGTATGTTGTAAACAAAATGAGTCTAGAGGCAAATTCAAGATTGAGAGTCATTGGATTCTGTTCTTTTTTGGTATACGTGTTAGAACTCTTACACTCAAGATTGAGCTAGATATAATTAATTCTGTCAAAAGCGTTTTTTTCGAGGGATTTGTATGAATTACGCTTGGTGGAAATCATTTTTTATAGAAAGTAATCATGAGAACTTCCATAAAAATACACGTGTCTCTAATAGCGTGAACTCGTATGGTAAATATCGAGTATATAAACAGTAATTTCAACTCAAATCTATTCTAGCTTCTAGGGATACAATTGACATAGTTTAATTCAATTGGGAAGATGATAGTAGAGTAGTTGATACATATATTACTTCTACTATTACTTTACCGAACTATACATGCGATTTTCACATCATATCTCTAATAACAGTTCAAATCTAGCGAAGAATCCAAGATTTAGAATCATTGGATTCCGTTTGATCTTTTTGTATATATATGCTAGTTATGTTCTCTTACACACACATAATTTGAGCTAAACTTCTATCCAACGTTTTTTTGTCAAGTAATAGATATGAAATGTGCTGTCAAAAATCCCAGCTTTTCAATGGATTTACGGGGATCCCCATGCCCATGGAAAAAAAAACGTGTCTCTTATAGCATAAACTTATCGAGTCTAATTTAAATATCCATCTTCAATCTATATATATACGTCATACATATATATATTTTTTCAAAATTCTTGTTTCAATATTTGGTATTAATTAAAGACTAATTTTTTTTTTTTTTTTTTTTTGCATTTAATCATGAAGGGAACAGGTGACAATTCCACTTGATAAACCTTTTATTTATTTAAAAGGTTCAGATGTGAAAAATACTATTGTGATATGGGATGGTCATGACTCACTTGTTACAAGCCCAACTTTTTCCTCTTTTGCTGAAAATATTGTTGTGGAAAAGTTAAATTTTACAGTAAGAAACCTTAAATCCTAATATTAAGTTTTTTTTTCTTTCAAAAATATAGTTTCTAATATTTTTTTTAATAAATTTTTTGTAGAATTCTTACAATTATCCACCTATGAATAAAAAAAATCCAATGAAACCAGCATTAGCAACATTGGTTTCTGGGGATAGAACATCATTTTATGATTGTGCTTTTTCTGGTTTACAAGATACTTTATTGGATGATAATGGCAAACATTATTTCAAGCAATGTACAATTGAAGGAGCCATGGATTTCATTTTTGGTAGTGGTCAATCAATTTATGAGGTAATCTTTTTTATTGTTATGTTACGTTACGATATCTGGTTGGTACGTCTTTTGAATGTTTAATAGTTTTAATGAGTATTTAGTGGTAAATACTTGTACACACATGGTATTTATATCAAATTAAGAAATTTAATTTAATTGTAGCAACTAAAACAGAAGGGGTAAACAACTTCTTAATTATTTTTTTAAGATGATAAATATTTTGAGATATATTCAATTTTTTTTAAAAAATAATTGATGCTTTAGCTAATCCCTAATTAATGTAATTTTTTTCTTTAGATATGTATGAACACATTAAGATTTTTGTCTTCTTTATTAATGGAGTTGAGGACAATTTTATAGTCAAATGATTTATAAATACAAATTAAAAAAGTAGGAAAGACAAAGTTTACTAGTTAATTATAGTCTTTACCTTTCATTGGACAATTAATGAATTAAAATCCATACATAGGCCTTGGATACCTTTAGTTATTCAGTAAGGTAATGTGAGGTTAAGAACTATGTTGATTTTTTGTTTCACTTGGTGTTTGATATCTGTGTTAGGCGTAATTAAATTTTATTTCGTGCCAATAAATCCTACATTGAGGATAAAAAACCTTCCTCTATTACTATGACTACACATAATGTTCTTGTAAATTATGGTCAATACTGAGTATATAATCGGTAATTTTAAAACATAGTTTCATTCATTTGGGATGATAGTAGAGAAGTCGATAGATAAGTTACCTTTACTATTACTTTATATGAAATTTTCACATTATATATCTAATTTGTTTAAACGACATGTATCTATAGGATTGAATACATAACCCCGTACATGAATTTTCATATCACACGTCTGATCTGATTATTCAAATGACATGTATATTGTTTTAATAGGATTGTACAATATTGGTGAATGCTGGATCAATATCACAAAATTATGGAGGATTTATAACAGCACAAGGAAGATCACATCCAAATGATGCAAGTGCATTTGTGTTCAAAAATTGTAAAGTTATTGGGACAGGCAAGGCATTCTTAGGAAGGGCATGGAGGGCTTATGCTAGAGTTCTATTTTATAAAACCTCCCTCTCCAACATCATTGATCCTATAGGTTGGGATGCTTGGAGTTACAAAGGCCATGAGTAAGTCCCTCCCCCCCCCCCCCCCCCCCCCAACATATATATATATATATTTGGAATATTCGTGGTGTTGGCATCAACTTGCAAGCACCACGAGGAAATTTTGAGGGGTATCAACTACTTCTCATCAACACAGGTACCTGGTAAATCTGTCTAAAGACTTGGACAGATATAAAGAAAATCACCTAGTGTTTGTGTCAGCTAGAAAATAAATTTGAGATTTATATATATATATATATATATATATTTTGGAATATTCGTGGTGTCTGCATCAACTTGCAAGCACCACGACTAAATTTTGAGGGGTATCGACTACCTCCACCAGCACATGTACTTGGTAAATTTGTCTAACAAGGCTTGAACAGCTATGAAGAAATCACCTAGTGTTTGTGACAACTAGATTCCCTCGACCGAATTTTTGTATTTTAAGATTTTTTTTTAAAACTCTTTTTAAAACTTTTTTTTTTTTGGTTTGTTTTAGGAAGCAATTGTCTTTCTCAGAAGCAGAGTGTGATGGATCAGGAGCAGACACATCAAAGAGAGTTAAATGGGAGAAAAAGCTAAGCACAGATATGGTGGAGTCATTGACAGATTTGTCCTTCATTAATACTGATAATTGGATTAATGATCAACCTATTATCTTATTAAATTAGAGAATTAACACTGCATAAAAAATGATCTTTAGCGGCTATTAATTAACGACAATAGCTTGATTGCCGCTAAATAAGTTGTTTTTTTGGGGCAATTATTAGTGATAAACACTCTTTGTAAAAGTTCCTAAAGCCTATAGCGACATTGAATCTAATGACAATTAGCTAATGCCGGTAAAGGCTTTAGCACTCTTTGTTAATGTGCAAGTATGTGTTTCTCTTTCTTGTTCTTTAGTTTTTCTTTCTTTGTATGAATCTTTTACTCCACAGGCTTGTGTGTGCTTATAAATCCCAATTCAATGTTAATAATTGTTGTCTTAGGTATTTACTTAGGGGTCGTTTAGTAGGGAGTATTAGGAGAAACAGTCCATGTATTATGTATTGTGTTATTTAGTACTCCCTCCATTTCATATTAATTGAATTGTTGAGTCATTTTTCATTTTCCAAATTAACTTAATTGTTCAATTTTCAAGACTACTTTTATAATGTTTTCCAATTTTACCCTTCATTAGTTAGTATTGGAATTAGTTATTAACTAATGTTTAGTTATTTTAATCATAATTTTGATAATAATTAATAAGGATAAAAATGGAAAGTTAAGCCTAATTTATGTCTTAATCTTCTTTTCTTAAAGGGTGTGAAACACCTCAACAATTCAAGTAATGTGAAATGGAGGGAGTACTATGTCTCTGTGACTGAGAAATATGACTTGGATTATCCCATGAATGGCGCCCGTGAATTTCCATGACATTAAGGTATCAAACATCTACATTGAAAGCCTAGTTTGCCCCCTTTCACAAAACGTGAAAATGAAGCACACAACAAGAATGAAGGTTTCAAGCTATATATGCCAGGTGGACGAAGATTTTATGACCATTTAAAGCTCTTAAAGTTAAAATCATGGCTTCGCCTTTTGATTGTGATTCGTTACAAAAGGTTGAACAAGATTCCGCTGAACTTCATGCATCTTCCCTTTGCTACACACACACACACACATGCACACAATGTTAATGCAACTTCCCTCTTTGTTAGAAAATTAATGAATTCATTCAACTCACATCAGCTCACCAAGAGAGCCGGTTTATATGTGAGGTGGAAGATTTTATGGCCAAACGCGCCTAGAAGCATTTGTAGACAAACATTTGGTCTAGTCAATGTCTAGATGTGTTTCGCTAACTATTGAGCGATAGTTCAGGTATGAAATTCAAAAGATTGGGATAGTTTAGATGTAATTTTTGAATATTAATAATTGGTGTAAATAACCCGATTTAGCGGCAATTATGTCCTACATGAGACTCTGAGTTGAAAAGCGCCATAAAATGCGCTAGTTTGTTTGTGTTGCTGCACAGATTCATGTTGCTTTGATTCAAAATCTTTATTTTCACCGTTCACTGTCTCTAACTCAGAAATTTGTTAATCTTTATTAACAATAAATATTTGTACGTTGTGAATTGAATTTTCAATAACTGCACGAAGCGCGGCAAAGTTCCCTAATTTATAAAATATTTAGTAGCAAAGGCATTAAATGATATCGGAACTAGAATCAGGGAAGTAATCAATGAATTCACGGAAATTTACATAAGAACCCGTTTTAAGAAATTGACACAACATAATCATATTTTTTTCAACTAAAATAGCCGCATGTGTATGTAATGTATTAATATATATAAATAATTAAGTATAACCATGCATATATGACATGTAACTATGTATCGGAGATATACATCCATATACAATGACACTGTTATATAATATTAATACATTGTAGCAATTCATCTTCGTCACGAGCTGGATTTTTTTTTTCCAATTCCAACCAATTCAAGTCTCCTATATACCGTCATAGATTTTACATATGAGCTCCTCTCGATGCTTTGATTACATATTATCCACTCGAAACAATTCACCTTTGCTGCCGGTCGAATTTCAAATTTGAGCTTCAAAGCTCTTTAATGGCGGATTTTAATAGACATCCAACTCAAATCTCTTCTAAACAATCCTAAAATTTTCACATTAGCTCCTCTCGATGTTGTGATTATATATTATCCACTCGAAAACGTTTCACGTTTGCGGCATATTGAATTTTAAATTTGAGCTTCAAAGCTCTTTAATGACGGATTGTAACGGACATCCAACTCAAATCTTGTCTAAACTTGTCCTGAAATTCCGATATGATCTCCTATCGATATTTTCAATTCTTTTGATATATTACTTACTCGAAAATTTTTAGACATTTGCGGCAAATCAAAATTTTAACATTTCAGCTTTCCAGTGTTTCCAAGTGAAGCAACAACAAGGTCAAGATTTAAGTATAGACACATACAAAATTCTACCGATTTCGTAACAATAACAGTTAAATTGTTCCCCATGATAATGAACATGTATTTTTACTCTTCTTCATTAAGTACTACTACTAGGTTCTTGGAAGTAATCAAATTTGAACTCGTGATGTGCGCCTAACCATACATCACATGTTGTACTTTTACAATAAGACCAAAACCCTCGGAGAAACTAAAGCCATCTGTTTTTCACATATTATTTTTCAAAATAGAATGAAATAAAATAAAGATAGTATCATACCTTAATCTGTCCAAGTTTAATCTTGTCAATAGCACCAACATCAATTATTGGGGATCTACCTTTTGATACTTTAAAGGAAAATGGGCCTTCTTCTGGTTGGGGTATTCCTAATTCTGCTAAATTTCCGAACTTAAATTTTGCGTACTTTGCAATTAAAGTATCAACCAAAGATATTGGTAAATATTTTAGTAATAACATTGCAGTGTACACCATCTCCCTTGTTAGAACATGAATCTGCAAAAACATTAGGAAAAAATATATTAAAACTTTTAGAATTAACAATCATATTTATCAAAAAATAATAATTGATTGTGCATGTGAAAAACTTGCATCATCTAACTATAGAAAAGTTATAGCACTTTGGGAAAACACCATGAACTATAATGTACATATTTATGAGTGTAAGTTTCATATTTTGACGATATATTAAAAAAGAAGTATAAAATCAGATCAATTATAATGTAATTGTATATACCTTGTAGTATTCAAAAACATAGATCAAAGTTGGTAACTGGAATTATCAAGGGTTCTAAAAAAAGAAATATATATGAGTAATGCATGAAAGATTAAATTAGAAGAGAAATCAAAATTTCATATACAGTTAGTGCAAATAATTTTTTGTGCTATCATTTATCAAGTCATCTAACTGATATCTATAGATATGTTTCTTCAAAATTATGAGATTCAAAATCTTAAAAAGTAAAATATGTTATCTGTGCATTAATACTATATAAATAATTAAGTATAACCATGCATATATGACATGTAACTATGTATCGGAGATATACATCCATATACAATGACACTGTTATACAATATTAATACATTGTAGCAATTCATCTTCGTTACGAGCTGAATTTTTTTTTTTCCAATTCCAACCAATTCAATTCTCCTATATACCGTCATAGATTTTACATATGAGCTCCTCTCGATGCTTTGATTACATATTATCCACTCGAAACAATTCACCTTTGCTGCCGGTCGAATTTCAAATTTGAGCTTCAAAGCTCTTTAATGGCGGATTTTAATAGACATCCAACTCAAATCTCTTCTAAACAATCCTAAAATTTTCACATTAGCTCCTCTCGATGTTGTGATTATATATTATCCACTCGAAAACGTTTCACGTTTGCGGCATATTGAATTTTAAATTTGAGCTTCAAAGCTCTTTAATGACGGATTGTAACGGACATCCAACTCAAATCTCGTCTAAACTTGTCCTGAAATTCCGATATGAGCTCCTATCGATATTTTCAATTCTTTTGATATATTACTTACTCGAAAATTTTTAGACATTTGCGGCAAATCAAATTTTAACATTTCAGCTTTCCAGTATTTCCAAGTGAAGCAACAACAAGGTCAAGATTTAAGTATAGACACATACATGATTAGTTAATGACCAAATAGATAATTAGCTGAAACTTGGGCTATTTTTTTGGTTAGAAACAAAAACATAATTAATGTCATTTTTCCTAATTAAAAAAGAAGAAAAACAACTAGAATTCAGGGCCCAAAATATTATTGTCTCCCCTTAGGTTTGTGGAAAAATAGTTGCCTCCACAACAGAACTCCAAAATGTAGTTTGAAAAAGATGAAGTCTTCAAAGGCGAAACCATTGTTCATTCAATCCGTACTCTGCCATCAGAACTCGTCACTAAAATCCTGTTAAGGCTTCCAGTGGAATCCCTCTGGAAATTCAGGTCTGTATCGAAATCTTGGCTTTCTTTAATATCGAGCCTGAATTTATCAAGAATCATGTTAAGAAATATTGAATCTTGGCTGATAACAAAGATACACACAACATAGCCTTGTGTTGACCTATAGGCACCTCCCTATTAAGGGATATCAATACTTTCTTAAGAATTACTCCATTAGTTCGTTACTTAATGACTCTGTGATTGAGGATTGTAACTTGGATTATCTAATGGATGACGCGGGAAAACATGTTTGGGTTGTTGGTTCAATTAATGGATTGTTTGTCTTGTGATTGCGGAAGCTGAAATGTTTATGTGGAATCCGTCAATTAGGAAGTTCAAGCAGTTTCCTAATTATAGACTTCATACTAGTTAGATATATCGTTTTGGATATGACGAATTTCGTGATGATTATAATGTAGTGTCTGTTAACAAATCTGAGAGTCCACTTCAAGGTGAGGTTAACTTATACAGTCTAAAAGCTGATTCTTGGAAAAGTGTTGATGATTGCCCAGGTACGGGGATATTAAATGTTTTTGGTCAGTTTTTGAACGGGAAGCTATATTGGCCCGCTAATGTTGCTGGACTAGATACATCGGTTGATTGGTACGTAGTTTCTTTTGATTTGGCTGATGAAAAGTGGGGAAAGGTGGAGAAGCCTTGCTCTTAAGATGGGGGTAGTACTCTTCCGTCGGTGGGAGTGTTGGGAAATGATCTTTTTGTGTTTTCTTTTAGGGAAAGTCATGCATATGTGTGGGTTATGAAAGAGTT